CGGCAGAGAGGGGGCCTTCGGTCCGTGGCAGGAAAGAGCCCAGAAAGCCGCCAAGCGCCCTCCGCCAGCGGTCACGGCGTCATCTACCAAAGATGGCCCGCCAAGGGCGCCCGAGCAGCTGAGACCCTTTAGCAAGGGGTCCGGGAGTGAGAGATGCTTCGTTAGCCCGATCCTGACCCGTTTGTGAGACGTTTGACACCTGTCCGTTTCTCTCCCACCTGTGCAAATCCGGCGACGCCTCTTCTTGGGGCTGCTTGGCTGGTGGGAAACATCTGGCAACTGTAACCTGAGGGTGCGGACAGGATCACGCATTTGCTGGGCTCTGCTCCTTCAGCTGCCCACCGGAAAGAGTTGGCCAGCTCTTCTCCTCCTACCTAAAACTGGCTATAATTCATTGGCCATTAGAGAAATCATAGTTCGATCCAGGTTCAGTACTGAACCTGATTCTCTGAATTCATTTCAGCCTTCATTCCCAGCCTGATTTTGGGATGCAAATAGCTTTTGTTACCCTCACAAATGATGTTCAGCGGGAACAAATAGAGGGTATAACATCTTTTCTCTGGGCTTCCTTTGTTGCGAATAGGTTTCAGATGATGGTCCAGAGGATCATGTTCAATTCCTTGATCTGTGGGGCCTGCAGCATTGGATTATGATCCTTCTGCTTTTCAGCATCTGTATGAAACTGTTGTCAAAGATCTGGGATTGAACAGTGCTTTTGGTTTGGAATCTACAATGGCACGGGGCCTACATGGCCTGGGGCCTGGTTACCCGAGGGACCGCCTCTCCCCGACTACATCCACCCATCCCATCAGGTCTGGCAGGAAGGGTATGTTGCGGGTCCCATCTGCGAGGGAGCTCCATCTGTCGGGGCCTAACAGATGAGCCTTTTCTGCATGGCACCCGCTCTCTGGAACATCGTCCCTCCTGAGGCGAGGTTGGCCCCCGTCCTTGTGACCGTCCAGAGAGCTCTTAAAACCTGTTTTTGTCCAGCAAGCCTGGGGATCCGCTGGTGAGAGGGAGCCTGCGCACCGACTATATTATACGTAATATCTCCCCTCTTGTAATCTTGCCTTATTTATTTTGTTTTTAATCTATGTTTATTATTTAACTGATTTTATTGAAGTTTTTAATTTTGGTTTTATTGTATGCCACCCAGAGTCACTTTGAGTGAGATGAGCAGTCATATAAATTTGATAAATAAATAAATAAACAGACTGGATGAGGATAAAGCGGAGACAAGCAGAGATCCTACTGACCAGTTCACAGAAAGATAGGATATTAACTTTTCCTTTTTGCTGTCCCCTTTTATGATCAAACTCATCACATAGGAGTTCTCCTGGATCTATCAGTTCTGAGATGCTCAGGTGTGATAATTTATGATCAGTCCAGAACTATATTTGTTCAATGTGAGTTAGTGCACCAGCTGGTATGATCAGACCTGATATCCTATATACTTTTGTTAAAGCCAAACAACTGTTTTGTAATACATTTTTTGTTGCTTCGAAATATCCACAAAGCAGAATCACACTACTGTACTGATGGGATTTAGGGTGAGACAAATGCCATAGTCATAAATCCCCTTAGCTGTATCAGCTTCATTGGCTGCCACTGTTTTTCAAGATACAGTTGAGGTGAAGTTGCACATACCTCACCTCAACTATATTTCACAAGCACATACCTTGCCCAAAATTAAAGTTTCTCTGTTGCATCTCTTCCTGCAAACAATCTTGTTTGTTCCCCAGTAAAACTCCATTCATGGGATCCTCCAAAGGTCTAGATATTCTGAATCCCTTCTGAAGATGGGCTTTCCATTAGATGAGTTCCCATGAGTTTGACTTTCCTGTCCATCCAACATTCTCCATGGCTTTGCAAGCTATTGGCTTTATTTCTACTTTCCATGCAGTCAATTCATCATACCAGACAGCAAAGTGCTTTCCACTCTTCCAGAAAGATTATCCCTCTTCCCCCTCACTATCTCTATTCCTTTCAAAATTCAGACAAGTTCCAAATGCTGTGCTCACTCCTCCTCTACCCAAGATTTGTGCTATATTTACAGCAGAGAAAACAGATCAATTGTGGTTGGTTGTGAAGGATTGTATCTTGCTCATTTCTCATCCCTCCCAAGCTAGCTGGGCAGGCGCATATTTTCAGTTTACTCAGATGATATGAGAAATAGGGAAGGTGAGAGTGTTGGGAATTCTGTGGATGGATCAAATTAGATGAAATTTTGCTGGCATCTATTCATTGGTCCAGACAAAACAGGAGAAGCACAGCAGGATAGAAAGAATTGTACAAGTAAACAATTTGTTTGTACCACTTATTTTCTCATATGCCAATTCCAGAGCTGGGTAAAAGGTAAGGGAAAGACTCCACCTTTAATTAAACACTTTCCATCATTCCTCTCACTCTTGGTGCATGCAGATAATCTGCATGGCACCTGCCTCAGATCCAAGCCTGCACCAGGAGGCAAAAGAATCCTGTCCCCCAACCAAGAGAGTCTTGTAGCAGCAACAGGCAAATGGTCAGGAAAACAGACCACCTTCCACATCTGGAAAGGGAACCCATTTTTTAAACCGGATTCAAGAAACGAACTTTTAAAATGCAGGTGAATTTCAGGTATGCCTAATAGAACCTGAAGAATAAACTTAAGTTAACAGTATCCATCTGTCTGATGAATAGTCTGTCTTAACTGCATGAAGAAAGCGCTTGCATGTTCAGTTCCTGGCTGGCAGCATCTCCAACAGAAAGTATTTCAGGTTCAAAATACACAGTTCTAGGAGGGGGGGGGGTTCATTTACTTATTTAAAGAATTTATATGGCCATCTAACTCAGACAATGTGACACTGGGCAGCTTATAAAAAAAACCAACCAAAATAGTAAACAACAGCCAACAAAAAATAATGGAATGAGTAATACGTGACTTTGCTCACATTTATACCTTCTCCCAATGGGAACGTCAACACTTGGGGGAATAGCCATGATTCTGAGACCTTCCTAAAGGTGAGCAGAGTAAGGGCCAGCCAAACATCAGTTCATTCTAAAAGGCAGGTGCCTTTCCTGAAAAGACACACTGTTTCGGTCCCATCATGGCATTGCTTTAAAGTCCCAAAATATGCCAACTCTTAGGGCGAATGGGATGGACAGTTCCTTAGGGAAAGGCAGTCCCGCAAATAACCTAGGCTTGTGCCATGTAAGTTCATAACCAGCACCCTGAATTTCATCTGGAAGCTGGTAGGAGCCAGTGCAGCTCACAAAGTGACGATGTTACACGGGTGAATAGACGTGAACCCATAACT